TGGACACACACACACTCACACATATACTCACACAAACACACTCACACAAACACACACACTCACACACAAACACACTCACACAAACTCACACACAAACACACTCACACAAACGCACACTCACACGTGTGTATCTGCACATCAGTTGAATTTTATATGAATTCATTCATGGATGCTCTTTGATCATCATGTTGCTTGGCAACCGTAAACAGCCTGTATGTTTGCTAATGAAGTACATTAGTGTTTTTGCTGATATTGTTGTGATCCGTCTCTCAGGTTGCGATAAAGATCGTGGATAAGACTCAGCTGGACGATGAGAATCTGAAGAAGATCTTCCGGGAGGTTCAGATCATGAAGATGCTGCGACACCCTCACATCATCCGTCTGTACCAGGTCCCGCCCCCTCCCTCACGCTTGCAGCTGATTGGTCTGTGGTTTGTGTTCGGTTGAGTGTGATTGGCTGAGTCTGTGTGTGTTTGGCAGGTGATGGAGACGGAGCGGATGATCTATCTGGTGACCGAGTACGCCAGCGGAGGAGAGATCTTCGGTGAGACAGGACTCTGATTCAGAAGAATCAGTTCACCAGAACAGTGTTGAACGTCTCTGAGGTGTTTCTGCTCCCGTGTGTTTCTCAGATCATCTCGTGGCTCACGGACGGATGGCGGAGAAAGACGCGCGGCGGAAGTTCAAGCAGATCGTAGCGGCGGTTTATTTCTGTCACTGCAGGAACATCGTCCACAGAGACCTGAAGGCAGAAAACCTGCTGCTGGACCACAACCTCAACATCAAGATCGTGTGTGTGTGTGTGTGTGTGTGTGTGTGAGTGTGTGTCTCTGTGTGTGTTTATGGAGTGTGTTTGACTGTCCGTCTCCCTGTCTCCTCAGATTTCGGCTTCAGTAATCTGTTCTCTCGAGGACAGCTGCTGAAGACGTGGTGTGGCAGTCCTCCGTACGCCGCGCCCGAGCTCTTCGAGGGGAAAGAGTATGACGGACCTAAAGTGGACATATGGGTAAAAACCAGCGTCTGTCTGACCTCACGTACACTATCCCATCAAGTTCATATAAAAATGGCCTTATGTGCGATTTAAATGTTTGTATCCAGTGTTTGTATACACTAACCCTACCACATATCACATAAGACATTGCATGTGTAAATGTTAATGCATCGTGGACAGCAGTGAGAGACCCGCCTACTCACCTGTCAATCAAACGCTGCTCTAAAGCCAGTGTCGTTCCTGCTGTCATGTGCAGATTTACTTGAGAGTACAGCAGAAACGCACACATGCAGCGAGCGTCTCCAGTGTGCTGCGTGACGCAGATCATGTGATCAGCTACAGCACTGAGCATGAGTGTGTGGCGACCTGAGTCTGATGTAAACGTCTCTCTCTGTAGAGTTTGGGTGTGGTGTTGTATGTCCTGGTCTGTGGCGCGTTACCATTTGATGGAAGCACTTTACAGAACCTCCGCGCACGAGTCCTCAGTGGAAAGTTCCGGATCCCGTTCTTCATGTCCACAGGTACACACAAGCACACTCTCATACTCACACACACATTCTCTGACACACTCACTCAAACTTACACACACTCACTCTTGCTCACTCACTTTCACACGATCGCACACTCTCTCTCTCTCGCTCACTCACACTTACTCTCACACACTCACTCTTGCTCACTCACACTCTCGCTCACTTACTCTCACTCACTATCACACACTCACTCCTGCTCACTCACACACACACACACATGCACACCCTCTTGCACACTCTCACACACTCACTATCACACACTCACTCCTGCTCACTCACACACACACACACATGCACACACTCTTGCACACTCTCACACACTCACTATCACACACTCACTCCTGCTCACTCACACACACACACATGCACACACCCTCACACACTCACTATCACACACTCACTCCTGCTCACTCTCACACACACACACACACACAGACTCTCACACACTCACTATCACACACTCACTCCTCACTCACACACACACACACACACGCACTCTTTCTTGCACACTCTCACACACTCACTATCACACACTCACTCCTGCTCACTCACACACACACATGCACACACTAAGGCTGTCAAAAAAAAATAGAATTTCGAATATTCGTCGAATTGAAATAAAAATCCACATTTTAGGTGTGCGTTAAGGAGGCAGCCTTATCAGTGG